AATTTGCTTCGTGTTCTGCAGGGGTATTTGCTTTCATTCCTCTTTTATCTTGGCACAGCTGTACCAAGATAAAAGAGGAATGAAACCCCAATGTAGTGATTTCCAAATAAATATGCACTTGAAGTTCAATGGGTATCTGTAGATCAGATGACTTTGTAAGGCATGATGAAGGAATTCTAGAATGAGGAAAAGAAATGTGTTGTTTACCTCGATCATTTCTTTCCCCTCTTCTTTTACAGAGCCCGGCATATTACAGTTGCCCAATGAATATTTTGTTCACTGGCTTAATAAAGGGTTAGCAAATACTTACTATATTGACATATTAAACTTGTCCTAATCTGAAGACCTCAGGGCCTATCCTATTTTGAATATTACATGGATGTGTAGAAAATTGCTGCAATGTATATATATAAAATACTAAGGCGATAAACTATCAGAGGTAGAAACCAGCTAGCCTAGTCTTTCCCCATTATAGGTAATAAAACTGAAGCCAAAATAGATGGGGAGAATGTCTGCAGAGCTGGTTGGTACCAGATGTGAAAGCAAGGCCTCTATCCCCTCCTTCAGGAGTAGCTCTTTCTGTTCTATCCTATTCTAAAGCCTGAAGCAGTGGTTCTCAACCTTCCTAATGCCATGACCCTTTAATACAGTTCCGGTGGGTCGTGACCCACAGGTTGAGAACCACTGGCCTAAAGTCTCAAAGGTAGCTAAAGAGGACCCAAGTAAGGTGGATAATTTTTTTCTCAATTGCAGACACCCTCTCTCTTGCACATGAGTCTAGAATAGCACCAAAAAGCAATAGCCTGAAAGTTAAAAGAAAAAAAAATGCTGAAGTTTCTCTTCCTCACCCCAAACCGCCACCAGCTTCTCTTCTGCCAGGGCCAAATCATTCCTGTGTGATCACTGGGAAAAATTTTTGCCTCTCTGATTCTTACTCATCTCTTATATATACACAAGAAAGAGATTAACTTAGATCAGTGTTTTCTACTCTACTTTCCTTCCTGCCTTATTTCTATTTGTTAGCAGCATAAACTTAAAAAAAAAAATCTTCAATAGGTGCTTGCTTCGGCAGCACATATACTGAAATTGGAACAATACAGAAAAGATTAGCATGACGCCTGTGCAAGGATGACACACAAATTCATGAAGCATTCCATATTTGTAGGACAAAATAAAAACAAATTTCCACTGGTCCTCGGGTGAGCTGAGGGTTTTTGCAAGGAAAAAAAAAATCTTCTGCAGAATTCCAGAATATAAAATACATAAAGCCCAGATCCTCTGGTTAAAGTCAGACCAGTAGCAGAAATGGTCACAGAATCTCGCCTGCTCCAACTTGGCCACCTTCAAGGGTCTTTCTTACTCCCTCATTCTGAGATTCTAGGTTTCACTAGTAACCATTCCAAGGAAAGGAAAAGGGCAGACTCACATGTAAGTCCTTAAACGGCATTTCAGTTAGAAGGCCAGGAGCAGATGCTTGGAGAAAGAACTAAACCGCTGTGCTAGCACCGGAGCACAGGTCTTGGCCAAAGAGATGGTGTTTAAATGTAGTCAGTTAGTTTGGCTGCCATGGGAAGGGCTTCATGGGCTTTAAGTGGAGGCCAGTCCTTTCCCAGATACCATTGGTTCTCTTTAGGTTGTGGGGTATTTGCCCCGCAGAGCACTATGGACTGTGTGGCTAGCTGCCTGGGCTCAGACATAAAGATGCCAGTTTTGTTAGGGCAGGACTGATTTCCATCATTCATTGTTTCTGCTTCCATTGTATTCTGGGTCCCTGGTCTGGTTCCCAGAAGATATCCCTGAAGTCAGTGATATCCAAGACCAGTTTTCATTTCTAAAATATGTAACAACTTTGGGTAACAGCAGTTACATTCATAAAGTACCAGGTATTTTACAAAACCTCTTTGAGTTACTGTACAAGTTGGAAGTAGGACTAAATGAGTAAAAAAGAGAGAGAGACTCTTTAGGAAACAATGGTACAGTCCAAAGTAGAATGGATGTCCTAGAAAGGTATAAAGTCCTCGCCTCTGGAAGTGTGAAGCAAAAGGTGGAGGGTGAAATAAAGAGAAAGATGAAAGGAGACAGAAAGGGCCTCCTGCATATTTTATTTCATACTATCCTCATAGCAGCCCTCAAAGGGAACCATCCTTAAATTCAGTTTCAGATGAGTAAGTGGAATTTTGGAGAAGTAGCTTGCCAAACATCACGTGAAGAGTTCGTGGCAAGGCTGGGATTTGAAGTAAGGTTGTCCAGCACCCAGATGCTCAGTCCTCAACACCAACTGCTTCTATAAAGACATGAAAAATGGATGGCAATGGAAAAAAACCCTTTTGATGGGCCTCATGTTTCAAAAGATCTCTGTGTCGTGAGTTTAAAAGACAAATAATCTTTTGCTATTTGACTAGGATCAGAATTCCCTCGTGTGTTTTGTCTTTGATTTATCCAAGAGCCAACCTGAAAAGACAAAGCCTATCTGGGTGTCTGAGAGGAGGGACACACAGGAACAGAAGGAAGTGGACATTGTGTAGACCCACAGGACACCGCAGTTTCTTCGGGGGATTTGTGAAGGATGATGGTCACACCCTGTTTAGGTTGGCAGCTCTTCAACTTGCATCCAGATGAGAAAAATCTGCTGCAGTTTCCTTCTCCACCCCAAACCCCACCAGCTTCTCTTCTGCCAGGGCCGGAGTCTCCCACAGTGAAGTGCAACTAATTATATACCCCTCCTTGACTTCTCAGCTCTTGGCATCATGCCTACATTCTTGGGGTCTCTCTAAGACTTCATGTTGGAGAAAGATTATGATGATCAACCCAGTAGCTTGTAATTAAATCTTTTTAGGGAAAAAAAAACCCAAGCCCAAACCCAACAAACCTCTGTTTTTTTCACTTCTCCTTATTTACAGAGTGAAGGGTGTAAGGATACCACGCTAGAAGATTGAGGTGGTTTACAATTCTTGCCTCCTTCCTTCAGAAAGGATTCTCTTTTTCTTTGACACTACTTGAAACAGTTTCCAGAGAATCAGTGAAGCCTCTTTTCATGCCATGTCCAACCCCAGGTAATTTTTTTTTTTATTTTGGTCAGTTTTGGACTGTCACAATTATTTGCCTTTCAACTTTCCCCAATTACATCCCTCCTCCTTGCCCTGCAGGATGGACCTCCCTGAAGTGTACAACCAATCAGGGCATTCCTTGCTCAAAAGTGTTCATTCTTTTCTTGTTTGCTGATGGCCCTGTCACATTCAAGTTTCTTATCCTAATCTTCGGATTCCTCACCACCTAGTGATGCTGAGTGAAGGTGGCATGGAACTCAGAGGAAAAATACGACCCAAGGGCCACTAAATATGGTCATAAGGGAGAAAGATGTGGTCTTTCCAGCAATGTTTTAACAGAATAGTGTGGTGGAACTCATCAACCTCAGATGGGGCCGGCTGGAATGGGGACCAAAAGGGATCTGAGTAAGGCCAGGTGCTGAGGAAAGTGACCAGGCAGTTTAGCAGTGAAAGAAGAGAAGGGAATGGAAAAATAGGCACAGTAGCTGGCGATGTCCAGGGAAGGAACTCTGGACATTGGGGAACCTGGAACAGGTGTTGACACTGAAGCAAAGGCCACAGAGAGGGTCCCTCTGAGGCAGTGGTTCTCAGCCTTGGCCACTCACAGAACATTGTTAGGGCCAGAATTTAAGCCAGCGCCTCCAACCACGGTAGGACAAGTCTGCTTGAGTCCTGTCTTAGCAGTAACAGGAAGAACAAGGGACCCAGAATCTGGACGAGACAGGCTTAAAGTGAGAAGTGGACAAAATTATAGGAGTTTATACTTTCGTTTAAAGCTCATCATGTCTGTTTTTGTAAATAGCTGTTTTAGCTCATTAAAAATAACTTAAAATTGTATTCATTTATTTTGCTGGATCCAGAGTAAATGGGAAAAGAATGTTCTCTGAAATATATTCTCAATCTTAGAATAGATCTATAAACTAGCATGCTAAAACCTAGTAAACAGTAGCCCAGCCACATCTGTGAAGTGTCTGAGGCCCTCCACATACAGTGCCTGTTTTCTATTCTTTGAAGAGACTCTGATCCTTTGATTCTGCTTGGAGTAACAGGAGGAGAGGAGGCTTTTGGGGGAAGCCACAATGCTGCGGTATCCCTGGCTGAGGGAGCCTACCCTAACTAAGCCTTTCTTTAAAAAGCCTCTGAGACCAGGAGTGTGGGCAAACACGCCGCCCTGGGGAATCGTGCACCCTATGGACTCCTGGGTTGTAACATCCAGCTGTGTCTGAAGATAGACCTGAAAGTGATCCAGAGCTGATGTGACTTGGGAAAAGTATAACCACCATGAACTTGATCTTAAAATTAGAGGCATTTTGCTGGCAGGACTCGATTTTAAGAAGAGGCAGCTATGGTTGTAGACAGGCAGTTAGGCTGATGAATGTTCACTGCAGAGGGCTGCCCAGTGACCCCAGAGGGTCCCAGATGGTGGAAAAGGCCTTGTCTATGGGAGGCCATAAAAAAGCCAGACAAATAGGGGACACTTCAGTCTGGGTAGGTAAGAGGTGAGAGGGGAAGAGAGGAGAGGGCAGCAATAGGTTATAAAGTATCTCTTTATTTTACCAATTCATTAGTGTTGAAAATCTAAAATTAGTCTTGAAATTCTCTGCCTCACCTGGCAGAGAGAAAACAAACAGGCTGTACCTGTGGGTTCAGACAATCAGCTTTAAAGCATCCACACCCAGCTGGGAACGTCAAGAAACGCCTCTTACATGTATCAATTCTGAAGACCGAATCTGAAGCTCAGTAATGCAGAAAATCCACTTCTGGCCTGACTTGACTTCACTGTGACCATTTCGTTGTTCTGTGTGTTCTCAAGCCAGCATGTGTTCAGCCCCCTCTGTTTCATGGCACGGTGCCTGGGGTGGCGGCAATCGGAAAGATAAATCAGATGTCTCAAGGTTGATGCCCCTCTGTGTTTCCAGGCTGCACGCTGTCCTGACGTATATGCCCCACCAACTTCCAACTCTCCACCACCCCAGGTGAGACTCTGTCTCAAAAAAATAAATAAAATAAAATCTCAACAACTCAAACTTCTCCCCTTACCCAAACTTCCTGTTTGTCTATTCTGAAACTCCCAGGGAATCTTGTCTTCGTTGTAATGCCTTCTTGTTTCTCACACTCTCTCAAAAACCTAAACCCATTACCCGGGCCCTAAGTAATTCCCCCCACCATCCTTCAGCACTCTCTTCTTTTCTAGTGCTATCTGTAGCTTAGGCTGCTGATGGGCTTAGCGATTTATTATAAATGTGGCCTCTCATTCCATAAAGACATTCACTGCACAAAATCTGTTCTGAGCCTCTTGTTGATCCCCTATAATATTCTTTGCAGCCACCCCAAGATCAACTTCCTTGATGTCCTCAGCTGAATGTGACTTCTCCTTCTTTTGAACTCTCACAGCGCGTACTTGTTATACCCGCATGGCACTCAGCGCTTTCTGACTCAGAAAGTTGTGTTTATTCCTGGGCACTCATGCTCAAGGGTGAGAGCGCCAACCCCATGCACCTGGGGTGGCAGGTTTGAACCTGGCCCAGGGCTGCTAAACAGACAATAAATAAACGTTTTCTTTTTTTTTTTTTTTTTTTTTTGAGACAGAGCCTCAAGCTGTCCCCCTGGGTAGAGTGCCGTGGCATTACAGCTCACAGCAACCTCCAACTCCTGGGCTCAAGCGAGTCTCCTGCCTCCGCCTCCCAAGTAGCTGGGACCACAGGCGCCCGCCACAACGCCTGGCTATTTTTTGGTTGCAGCCGTCATTGTTGTTTGGCGGGTCCGGGCTGGGGATTCGAACCCGCCACCTTAGGTGTACGTGGCTGGCGCCTTAGCCCGTTGAGCTATAGGCGCCGAGCCAAATAAACGTTTTCTATGACTGGGTGGGGTGGCTCACGCCTGTAATCCTAGCACTCTGGGAGGCTGAGGTGGTGGATAGCTTGAGCTCATGAGTTTAAGACTAGCCTGACCAAAAGTGAGACACCCCCCCCCATCTCTACTAAAAATAGACAAACTAAGGCAAGAGGATCACTTGAACCCAAGAGTTGGAGGTTGCTGTGAGTACTCTACTCAGGGCACCAGCTTAAGACTTTGTCTCCAAAAAAAAAGTTGTATCTATTCATGTAATTTCTCTT